AACTAGCTGTGTCAGCGACTTCGTTCGCGTAGAATAGTTATTTTGGGCAACCAAATTTGTTTTTGCAAGCCTCGTATTTTTTATAATTCTATTACTTACTACGTCGGTTGCGTGCCGTCATTCTTGCAAGATAATCTTAAAAGATGGGCATATAGTGTCTTTAGCACTTTTTTTTAATCATTTAAAGAGGAATCATTCTTTTATACTTATTCTTTGGGTATCTTGAACTGTTTTCGTGTGCGTGTCAGAAATCCACAAGGATTCATAATATTTCGTTTTCTTTATATTTCCTGTTGTTTTTTCGCTCTTAAAAGTTACATCGCAATATTTTATAGTTCTTCCTTCATACACGTTCTAACCACCACAAAAATGTTCAATTAGAACCAGTAGTTCCTGAGATTAGCGCGTTCAAACAAACAAACTCTTCAGCTTTATAGATTGGTATAGATGTACACTGTTTTTTATCGATTTTTTTTCAGAATTAAGGATAATCGATTTTTTTTTTGCGGCAAAAAAGCTTGTTCAAAAAATGTAGGATCGTGGGTTCGATTCCCAAATCCAATATCTTTTACGATATATAACTTTTCTAGAACACGTTTGACTTCATGTTGAAGATGTGTCTAGGTCAGAATAATATAGAAATGTGTCGAAACGAAATCCAAGATTTCCAAGAGAAAAATCCTACCTCGGATTACGAAAGCCCCATATTACTTCCGAAGAGAATAAGACCACACTATTGAAATACTGACCCGCCACTCCTCTATTTATGAATCACGGACCAAAGGCAAGGGGTGAATACAAAACAAAGATCGCCCTCGGCATCAAGGGCCAATTCCTACGAGTCATCCTAAGTAATCTAGCTTATGATAAAGTATTGTGCGAGAGTTCAGGGAACGATTCGAGTGGTTAAGGAAAAAGCGTTTAAAACGCGAAATATATATGTTAACTTATTTGAATTAACTTGCATCACTAAAACTTTGAACTTAAGAAAAAAAGATGAATTACAGATTGTATTAATCAAGCCAAGAACAAACTATAACAAAAAACCATTACTATATGAAGGAGTACAGTTATTTAATAGGTTACCTCTATGTATTCGCAATGTTGCTGATTACGAATTCTTTAAGATGATGTTCAAATAATATGTAGTCGAACAAAACCGAATGTAAATTATTATTATTTAAGCCATTCACGTATATATGTACGTAGTTTTTTGTCTTTTTGTTATGTAAATCTCATTGTAAATGCAATTAAGCTTATGAGAAAAATAAAGTTTTCTATAAACCTAACTTATTTATAATTTATTTTTACTACGGGCCAAGGTTCGGAGACTTTACCTTTTAACGAATATATTACGACGAAACCTATCAAAGCGTTTTGTTTATATGTGTACTACTTGTGCAATCTACACACGATACTTAACGCGGAAGCTTTCTGTATTGCTAAAGAAAAAAATGTTATTAATTTTTTAACTTTCCATCAAGTGAATGGCATAAAAAATAAACTACGAGTATGTATTAATAAACTGGAGAGCATTATGCAATACAGATAACAAGAAAATCTAAACGGCCGTAAATTTACTACTTTTTGGTGTCAGTAGTATGTATATATGGTATGAATTGTATGTACACGTTCGTTTAATTTAAACGATGAAAAAGGTAATCCACAACTGTCGGTAAGCAAGTTCAGTCAGTGCCAACGCTAAGCCATCAAACGGCTGTAATACATTCCCTGTAATAAATACTGGCATGTCTCGGCCTTGCCGACAGCGCAAACTGAATAAAATCAAAATGTCTGTACATTTACTATCTAGCGTATGCAGCCAAAACGAGCACTTTGAAACTAGATACTGAATAATTCAGAATATTCCTTTGAAATGTTTTATTTGACGATCGGAAACGACTGTGTAGTGTGTTCCCGAGGTCTTTTAGTTTTTCTCCACTATAAGGAATGAGTTTTTAAAATGGTTATTAAAATCAAATGGAAATTTTTATCTGAATGGAATGTTGGTTTTATCTTGCATGTTCATTTTCTTTGTTTATCTTAGGAATTGTGAATATGATCTTACATGAAAATTCTTATAACTTTCCTACAAATTATATTATGGGTAGGAAAGTTAATAGATTTACGAATGTATAATTAATGTACATTACGATTAACATTGTCATAGATAATTATTCAATATCTTTGACTATTGTCAATAAAAAGAAACAAGTTTTAAAGCAGTTATTTTCTTAATATCGTAATAGTTTAATAGCCTAAACCATTTTTATTTTCCACGAATGTTCAATGATAAATTGACGTCCGTCCGAGACCTTAGTTAAATTAAAAATTAACAAATTTATCGCTTTTTTAACCTGAACGGTTAAAATGTTTTATATAAATATAATGAAGGTTGAATTCACGGGGATTGAACCCAAGAAAGGGTTCTTTCGGGTATTGTAGTACAGCTTTACACGAACTTATATAAAAAATGTGGCCCTTATATGTCTACATGATGTAAAATGGGTCGACAGCACATCTTGTTTAGATATATATGGCTGTAGTATTTTGCCTACCATAAAATAACCTCATGCTTGTCTGTTCTTCTCTATAAAAAAAACTAGATACTAATGACGGTATTTGCCAGAATTCTATATTTCAATGAATTATCGCGACTTCGTCGTCACGGGCGATTAAGCACAGATAGCAATTAGTTTTAGCCCGTAATTCATATTGTGTACAATACATTAAACAGAAGATCAAATCACACGACGCTCATAAATTCGCCGAGTTTCGGTCGCAAGATCCCCGGGGATCGGAATGTGCCGTTTGTCTTGCCCACATGGATTGGACGACTCGTGTAATTTCCTACGAGATTGTTCATTTTATTCCAAATCCTTTTATGTAATCGCGTGTCTGGATACCGCTTATGTATTCGATTTGGGATGGAACTGATTTTTGTTTAAGATCAGTCAATGACTTCACTCTCACATCTAATAAGCTGAAGAATTAGCTTAAACGTACTAATCTGAGGAAGTACTGGTTCGAATTGAAAAAAAAAATTGTGTTGGTTAGAGCATTTATCAAAAAAAAAAAAAAAAAAAAAAAAAAAACCCCGGGGAAAAAAAACCCCCCCCCCAAAAAAAAAAATTTTTTCGCTCTTGTGTTATATAGCTATAGATATATATAACGTGATATTATACATCCTTCGAATATTATATATCGAAGTCCTTCCTCAGTAAATGGTTTATTTAACACAAAGGATATCTGAAATCAAAACAGTTCTCAGGAAATATTGGTTCGAATTAGCACGTTTAAACATACTCTACTATCATCTATTGTAATATTGTAAAGCTTCTTCAGCTTTACAAGCTTACAATAGATGATAGTTTAGCAATTGAATACAACAATACTTAATATTATAATAACAACGATATCAACGTTAGGAAATGTAATATAGCTACTAATAATTAGATATTTCACGAGCCACTTGGGGTCGAATTTCTGTAAACCACAGCATTAATCCTCGTGTGATCTGACATGAATTCCATAATTTGTGTTAAGTGGTGTATGTAGTACCACAAAGTTTCGGAATATCAAACAATAGGTAAAGTACTTGCGTTTCACATTTACGTAATGAATTTCGAACGAAAAGTGGAATAACGATTTTCCTTAAATTGTGTATTAAATAGTAAAATGTTGGTAAAAAAGGTCTGGCTAGTCGAGTTTTTGTTTTGTTTTTATAACTCCTCGTTGCCCCGGATAGGCTGTGCTTGACCGAATCATCAACCGATATATGAAGATTTAGAAATATGTTTAATTAAGAAATCTATGTCAAATTTATATAATGGCTCAAATAGTCCGAGTTAGGATATAAAAAATAACTTACATGTTGGGACTAGTAAATTTTGAAAAGTTAGCGGATAGAAACGCGAAGTACGACGGCCCGACGTTACGTATGCTCCACAGTAACAATATTCACGGGGAAACTTCGGTATAAAATTTACTAATATACTTCTCGTTTTATCCCATTTACAGTGTAAAACCCCAACTATGAGAAATTAATAATAATAGATAAGAGGCACACATACTTAATATATCTACATAGCAACAGTGACATCTCGTATTTGAATTATAATATTTACATATCCCGTAACAATAACGGGAATATGGAACCTCTTACATAATGTGGGTTAAGTCGCCAAACATATAGAGATAACATAGTTGTGGGTCCTTTAATTTAATTGATCTATTAGGTTTTAGTACGAAGATACGGGTTACTACTTGAGTTTGCCTTTGGAATATATCCAGCTACCGAAGATTCTGAACAAGGTATATTAATAATTTGTAACAACAATGATTGACAGCATAATTATGTTCTAATTAACTGTTAAGTCAGTAATCTATATACAATACTGGTTTTCATTTGTTATCGTTGTTTTCTCAAGTACTCTCTGTTGATTTATATAAATCTCTTTGACGGTTAAACTTAAGAATAAAGTACAGACAGTATATCTGTAGTTTACGCGATTTAAATAGAACACTTTTAACGGTTTAAAACGCGAAATATATTAGTTAAATTATTTTCATTGTTCATTTAACCGATGCATTTCATGTTTTAAACCCTTAAAATGTTTTATTTAAATCTTTGTTTTCTGTTATTTATCAAGACTGATTTTTTAAGAAGGAAAACTTTTGAATTTGAATAACACTTAGTTTTCCGAAAAGTTTTTAATGCCATATCACTATTGTTTTTACAATATAATTATAACTATCAAATTAAAAAATTAATGCATAATAAAGTAAAACATAATAAATATATAATACAAAGATAGTCATGATAATATGTACCGGTCTCAGCTGTGTTGATAAGTTTTAATTGTGTTCCTCGTGTGTTGCTTAAAACCAGGAGTATTATTATTTTCTCGTTCCCTATTTCAACAATATCCTTTAATCTTAGTTTGCATGTATAATAAAACAGTAAAAATTGTTTATTTCCAGTGAAGAATCGGGAAGGAATGTGGGGCGGCGGCGCGCAATGCGTGCACGCCTCGCTGCCACGCGGTGCGCACGCGCAGCCCGCCCCGACGCTCAGTGGCGCCATCGCCAGCCGTCGCCCGCCCAGGTTAAACAAGACGTATTAACTGAAAGCTTCTTGGGTTTTCGAGATGTTTCGTCGCTGTAATAGAGAATGTTCTCGAAGTTACACCATTACGTGTTCTTCGACTAAGCGTCTTTGCTTCGCGGTCGCGTTAAAGCCCAAGAAGCTTTTGTAAATTCACCTCAAAAGGTTTATATAATTTATAATTTCTATGCTTTTGCGATGACAAAGTACTCCCATTCATTATATATATAATTTCTAAACACCTGTTCAACTTTGCATGTTAAACTTTACTTGCATGTCTGCATATTAATAAGCTTAATTTTTAGGATATCTTCTTTGTATTATGCTATTTAAACCATGTCTGTTAATATAGCTTAGTTTTGGATACCTTTTAAATAAAATAATAAAAAATATACATATTATAAAAATTATATTCAACTCCTACATTAAACCAACGTATCTAAAAGGTCACAGAGGGTCATAACTTAAATAACTCAGTTTTATAATTATTATGTTAATGAAGCGACCTTTTCGTACTTAAATAAAGTTATTAATCATGTACGAAGTTTCTAATTTTAAAAACTGGTATGACCTCTCTGAATCGTCTATACATTGTATTCAATGCGAGAGGTCCCGGGTTCGAATATAAGAGGAATATTAAATAAAATCAATTGAAAAAAAAACCTTAAAAGTACTTTTTCTTGTGAAATTACGTTGCTAGAAGACAGTTTTACGTCTACACACACTATTTTAATATTTATTAATAATTTAATAAGTCTCCCCGTGACCACGACTGCTGCTAAGCATCCGAAACGTCGAGCCGAAGTTAAAAATCACTATCAAATAAGTTTTACAAATATATCGCTTTTAAACCGTTAAAGTGTTTTATTTAAATAAATAAATAAGTAGTTTTTATTACCGTACCGTAGTCGACCGATATATTTATCCGGGAGGCCAACTATCCTTTCGAACTTAACCACTCAGCTATGAAGTTTCTTTATTAGTATAGCTTAATGTACTTCTTCTTCTTATAATATCACATTGAATATCCCTTTTCAAAGACATACAAAGAAAGACAATACACAAATAAAACAAAAGATTCATATAACACTGCTGTTAATTGTGAGGCGCTTCTACACAACACACAACACTGTTCATCTCCGGATTGAAACTTCACTGAACACGTGTAATTACACAAGTTTGAGAGGTTAACGAAAATTGGAGTAGGGCTAGTTTGTACGTTATACGCCTAAACGCCTGCACGAATGTACCGTCTGTATAACTTGTTGTGAAATTGAAGTTAGCATTTATTTTAGATTGGATATTTGCAAGACACAGGTGTGAATCGAATCCACGACCAATACGACGTGCACTGTAGCACTTTCAATTGAACTAACTCGTGAGTTCAAGTTCTGCTCGTGTCATAAATTTTTAATCAAAACAAAATTTTAAATTTATTTGTGCATTATAATTTCAAAATTATAAGTATTCACTAATTTTGTGTGTATTTATGTTTATACTTACTTATGAAATTGAATTAAGTATTATATTAAAAATATAAAGGTTTTCAATTGCTTAAACTAAACTATTTTGCTAAAGTATTTAATATAATTAATTCCTTCGCGTTGTTCATTTGAATCGTTACACTTAATTTACCAAATATTTTAATTCTATTCATTCAAGCAGTTCATATAGTTTTACAGATTCCTTAGATTTTGAAGTTCAAAGTGTAATTAAGTTAGATTTTAAAGCAATACAATTATTTTCACCCTCTTTTTTACACCTCGCTGCATTTATGACCATTTTCTTTGTGTGTATTTAAATTTCACTCCCTCATTTTTATCATCAGGCCCACACCACCATCACCAACTCTAATAGCGCAAATCGATTCCTCGGTGGCTTGCCTTTGGCTGCTCACGCCGCTGTCAGCTGGAACAGCCGTTGTTGCGGTTTTAGTCGCTGTCACGACAAACAACTGGCTCCACACTGAAGAGAACATGTTAAATACCTCGTTCAATGGCACAGGCAAACACGAACTGGTTGCAAAGCACACCGTGTCTGGCTTGTGGCGGATTTGTCATACGGACCGTGAGTATTTATGTACATTTAAAATAGGAGTGCTTCACTCGTATGAAGCAGTAGGTAGGTAGGTTCTAAAGCTTCGACAATGACACTGTCTGTAGTTTACGCGAGTAGTACACATTAAAAAAAATACTAAAGGTTTAACGCGATATATATTCGTTAAACTTATTTGTAAATATTTTAACTACGGCCCGACCGACTTCCCCGTTAAGGCTTGCTGCAAATCATCCGAAATGTCGGGCTGTATTTAAAAAAATCCAAATAAGTTTAACGAATATATATCGCGTTTTAAACCGTTGAAGGTGTTACATTTAAACGTGTAATATTTTTCAAGATATATCTTTAAGCAATGTCCTTAATTTACGGAACTGGTACAGGTATAATACTTTTAATGGATTAAAACGCAAAATGTATGACCACCACTATGCACACGACACGTTGGGTCATTAATAATTTTACCAGTCAATTTACTAAAAAATATGGATACATGTGAGCTTTCCTATCATCTATCTATAAATAAGCTGATATAAATACTTACTGTCTGTAGTTTACGCGAGTAGTACACATTTAAATAAAAACCTTTAACGGCTTAAAACGCGATATATTTGCTGCTGCAAAGCATCATAGTTAAAAATAATTTTCAAACAAGTTTAACTAAAATATATCGCGTTCTAACCGTTAAATTTTTTTATTTAAAAGCTGATATAGTTTCAAGACTAGTATTACGAAATAATGTTTTTGCAAGTAAATAAATATTTTATCTTTAAAGCTGTATTTCAAAGCATTGTCGCAATTACTCTGACCTTTGTCTCCGAACGTCTATTTAATAACTTTTAATAATCTTTTGACAGAACCGTGTCACGGAAACACCCTAGAGCGGTCGCTTTCAATATTCTTACGTCATATTTTTCTTAAATATCAACTGTTTACACACAGAGGTTCCTCGTTAAAAGTCGTGTATAATATTTAAAATGTAATGCACATTCATTTAATTTTTAGGTCATACATAAAGTATTTGAATACGGCGAAAACTAGAAATGTACAGTTCGTATATCATTTAGAGTTTCAAAATTGTTAAGTGCATTAAGGATGTTTTGAATAATGACATAATGACTACGTTTTCTATCAAAGAAAAACGCGTCTTTTACATTTGAAGAGCCATGCACCAAAGGATGTTGAATTTCTCTATAGCTCAGTAGTTAATGTGTAATTTGCGTAAAAAATTAAGTCAAATTCTGGGAAAAATATCATTAATAATTAAGACCTTGATATCGTTTTTATTTGAGTTCAGTTCGGTTTTAAATTATTTTGCAATTCATTTTACTACGGCCCGGGAAGACATATATCTCTCGTTTTAAACAGTTAAAAATGTATATTTTATTGTGTACCTCTCGCGTTAACTACAGACAAAAAATAATTCTAATACTGTCAAATTTTCAATAGATTTTGTTTTAAAGATAACACAGAAACGTGCTTTCAAGTATAAAATATATTAGTATTGTTTTTGTAACTAGTGTATTGAGTTTTACTGTTATTTGTCGCACATCGTTTTTTTTTATTAACTGACTTCATAAAGAAGGATGAATGGAACCGAACCCATTGGTTTATACAAATACTTTTTTAGTTTCGCATACTCTTGGAAAGTATAATTTTGACAACAACATTTACTTGGCTTTAAAGTAATTTTCAAAAAAACAACACACATACAAATAGATTAAAATACGTATGACTTTCTACAAAGTATTTTTTTTTATTTACTAAATATTTTGACCGAATTAATATTACTTTTTTACATACCACAGATATTTCTAAATGCTCGTCTAGGTTTATACTTAATCGACCACAGAGAGACTCAATATTTCGAAATAGTTTTGCATACAAACGCGGCGGAACCTTCCTTTAGCGTCGCACACAATAGCCGGCCGCTTCCTGCGCGGGAAATGCATTGTGCTCAAGTCCACACTCGCCCCACTTCCATTGCGTTTGAAGTCCAATGACGTCCACTGATGTCGGAACGCTCGTGACCGGTCCATTTCCTCTTAACTCTTCAATTATCTCGATAGCCCATTTGTTGGGTGGCTTTGTCTAGCCTAGCTAATGTCTGGAATGCGTAGCAAGGCGATTTGAGAAGACAGTAATTTATATAAAACACTTTAACGGTTTAAGACACGATATGTATTAGTTAAACTTGTTTGAAAATTATATAACTTATAGTGTTTTATTTTAATGTGTACTACTCGCGTAAACTACAAACAGTATTTAATAAAGTAATTGTTTAGTTAGTCTCGAGATCCCGTGTTCAAAAGCTAGGTAGGGTAAATGTTAATTTGGTATTTGAATTTTTTTTGTATAACTAGCTGTGCCTGCGACATCGTCCGCATATAATAGTTATTTTGGGCATCATATTATTTATTATTGCAAACAACTGCCAACAGATTTTTTAATTATAGACCACGACATCGTCCGCGACCACTTCTTGTTCTTGAGCGTTTGCACATTTTTTCCAACTTTTCAATTCGAACCAGTTATTCCTGAGATTAGCGCTTTCAAACAAACAAATAACGTATTTGCCAGATTAAGTTTAAAATTACTAATTTAGCTGATGAGCGTGGCTGTGCGAATATTATAAAACTTTACATGAACATATGTTCCGAAATTTAAAAAAAGAACTGTGCGTTGTAGAGAAACCATGATTAGGATACTAGTAAAATATTGCACAGTAGCTTTTATTATACAGCGTAACCAGGCCGGCGAGATTAAAACACTTACAGCACTTAATTATAGAAACGCAGGTTGAGATAAAGTTGCATACAGCCCTTCATTTGCTGAACGGGTTAATGCACTTCGCCGGTTAAATAAAATGTAACCATTCATAAAGAGAAGGATTTGATTATGAAGTCAAGATATAGAGCTCTGTTTTGGTGCCACAGAAAACTTCTATTCAAAGTTAGCCTTTAAAGTTCATGACCCCACTTCTTTATACTGGAATTTATGTAATTTTGTATGTTATTTATTATTAGCAAATACGTTACTAAAAATGTGGGTGCACTGAGTTAATTTGTATTTAGGTTTAAAGACTTTATTCCTCATTTATTCTTTTTTTTAGAATACAACCTGTGCAGTCTGTTAACATCGACACGAAAAGTGAGAATAGGGAGGACTCTACGACACATATTACACGTCTTTGCTTATGCCAGATACAATAATAAATGTATAATGACTTAAGCCCTAATGATGTACTCTCTCTATATTTTTAACCTTACTGTAGTCCTGTATTTTTTATATTATAAATTTCATTGGTATATCTAACCAACACTTTTATTTTTTACAGCTGGGAGTACAGAGTATCGGTGTTTAGACATACCCTACTTTCCTCTCTCGCAATACGTTCCAGACCCATTGGACTCCACAAATGCAATTCCATGTGAGTTCATATATAAAAACTGTCTTTATTTATTCATATGTTTTAACATAGCTAACTGTTGTAACATGAATTATAGCCTTCGTATTGTCAAAACTAAGGTTACAACTTGAATTTTCCCTTCCTTAATCAGAAGGAACCTGAGCTATTTATTTTTAATGATTACTTATTGTTATAATGCTATCTTGTGTTACTTATTATATATTAATACTAGCTGAGTCGGCAAACGTTGTTTTGCCATATAAATAATTTTACTCAAATGTCTATAAAAAAAAGGGTTGATCGTAGAAGGGTGAAAATTGAGGATTGTATGTATTTTTGTATGTTGTATCATAAAAAAAAGAATTAAAAATTTGTCAAAAAAAAATAAAAAAATAAGGGTAAACAACCCTTATCACTTAGGGGGATGAAAAATAGATGTTGTCCTATTCTCAGACCTACTGAATACACATATCAAATTTGGTGTAAATCGATCGAGCCGTTTCGGAGGAGTTCCAGTTCGAACACCGTGACACGAGAATTTTATATATTAGATAGGCAAAACATAAATATGTATATACAATTTCGAGACCTTTTACGATAAACCCAGCATAAACAACACTAAAATAGTGATATAATAAATGAAGATCAATATTCTTTATGATGCAGTCGAGTGGTTTTTTTCTCTGTAATTTAAAACACTTCCTTTTGCTTTAAAACCTAAAAGAATCTAAAAGTAGTGTGTAAATAAACGATAAATAGGTCACACATTTCACGTTTTTATCGTTAAGCTCAAAGGTTTTAAAATTACTTTTATGATGTGAAATATCATTTTAAAGCCTTGACACAGAAAAGGTTGTGAGAATCCATATAATCAACGAGGGTTAAGCGAAAGGATTTTTAATCTTTATTTCATTTCTCTCGTACGTGTCAGAAAGCTAGCCTGTTTTTAGATATAGGCCAACCATTGTCAACATATGGGTTTTTAGTTTTAAAATGCGTTACCACATAAAGCGCACGTAGGTAAAATACCCCACCTGTGGGATATGAACATCTTAACAAGATGCGCTTTCGATATCATTTACTTAACTACGATTAATATTCACGACATTTTCGTGAACGGTGGTACGTGACCCAGCCAGAATTTCGATATTCCTACCACCCGGTTAATAGTCAGATTTTAACAATCCAATGATTAAATTGATTGAAAACATTTGAGATCCGTGTTCCAACCTTATTTTAGCTAGACACATTGCTTAATAAAAACACTGATAGCGTGAAGTCTTGGATTAGAGTTCTACCATATAAAAAAATCACACACAATCAGAAATCGACACACTGAAACAGAAACCATATATATGGAAACCTTGAATAATTTTAGGCTTTACCATTTCTGACCGAAAAATTCAATTTTCCACACGAAGTCTTTATCAATTTTATAATTCAACTACAACCCGGCCATTGCTGTGACTGAAGTTATTGTTTTATTACATTTGGTATAAATTTAGAGGAACAGTAGGAGAACATAGTACGAGCTTTTTATAGATGATAGCAATGCCGTCTATTGAATTGTAGCTTATATGACACGTTTGTCGGTTTACCATAGCAGTGCCATCTACTGATTACTTACTCTATCCACTGTAACTGTCAATTATTTATAGACAAATAATTTGCAATAAAATAAAATTGTGAGTATAATTAAAGATCGAAATTATCCAATGTCTCAAGTAGGACCAGACTGCTCACGGTGTGCCAATTTAATTTAAAATCAGTTCAGTAGTTTAGGAGTCCGTAGCGGACAAACATCGTGACAGGAGATTTATATATTATATATATATATTATTATACAAGGCTCCCATTAGATCAAAAAGACTGACCGTTTGCTTTAGTTGTATAATTGTAGCAGAAGAATATTCCAATATAGTAATTAGTCTTTCCTTTACAGAGTACCATGGGAAATGTTTAATTAAGCACTAGTAAGTCATCGAGGTATTAATAAGTTATTTCAACATTTTCAGATGTAGTAACCAGATCTGCAGCACCCCTACTTCTAGCTGTGTTAACGCAAGCTGTTGGGGCTTTGTGCTGTGTTCTTGGACATTGCGTGAAGGGGCGAAGACTCTGCACGTTCATAGCTGGCGTGTTTTTTATTGTTTCCGGTAATAATCTAACTATACGTAAATATAAGATCACTGTAACTACGACCAAATCTTATTGTGGTGCTGCTTTACCAATTGAGCTAATAGAGTCATTGAGTCAAATCCTTTTGTAAGGGCGCCTCTCGTGCAATATTATTTCAACAATTTTTGTCGTTATGCTTGAATTATTAAAATTTTGACATGTCAAAATACATAATTAAAATAAACTTACCACCTCTATGTAACGAGCAATTGTTTTTTAATTTACTTTAAAATTATAAAAATCTCGTATATACATGAACTTTGTACATATATATAATAATATAATATATAAAATATACGTGGTGTACCTACTTTTGTGTGAACACTTATTATATATTGATTTAGATAACATTTTGGTCAATAAAGTTGTAAAAAATATGATTTCCGCCCACCATAGAATTAAAGTGGAGTATTTTCTCAATTTCAGGTCTCATAATGCTGACTGGAATCGTGATGTACATATCTGTATTTAAGTCGCAACTAGGTCATAAACTACGGTACATGACTTACTTTGACACACCGCGGATGTCCTACAGCTATGGCTATTCCTTCGGATTGTACATAGGAGGTTTTGTAGCTGCCGAGCTGGCGGGAACATCTGCGATATTCTTGTTCCTTCAATGGTACCAGAAGGACTGGATCACTGAGATATCGGAGAAGGCAAAAGCCGACTGCCGTGCTTGGGACCGCGAGTACGCCTTCAACGAATTCCGTGAAAGAGACACAACACTACTGGAAAGGCGGATGATGAAAAGAGACACTTATCCTCCCACGGGTTCATCTGCTGCGACGCCACACGAACGTCGCCGATTCGTTTACGACGGCGACGAAATGCCACATTGTTCCATACACAAGAATAGAAGGATAAATCTCAGTTCCGCGTCTCTTAAAGACCTTTCTTCTTCTACTCTCTACGGGTTCCCTGCGGCACCACGCCCCACTGCCTGTGATAATTACTTTGAGGAGTTCAAAGAAGTTCCCCAGAGTGCTAACACCTTGAGCGGCTTAAGAAGCGCTTCGATATTCCAGTCACAGGCGTCCGTGGCCAGTGGAAGGTTCCTGGATTCGACGGCGGTAGAACCGCCTCCATCTCGAGAAGAAGAGTTGGTAACATTCGGAGCAGGCGCAAGGGTGGTTGACGAAAAGCCGCCTCGACACGACCGCGCTGTAGGAACTGACCCATATAGGAGAACCACGCCCGTCTGACTCGTAAGAAAGGGTGCCCTCCCTAAAAAGCATATCGATAAGTGAACAGTGATGCTATTGTTCCATTCTGATGCAGGAATACTGGCCGTGAAGTGACACTCGAATTTATAAACGTTATATAGGCGACTTTCGTTATGAGAAATTTTAATTGTTACATTTCCTCTAAATAAACACTGCCATTTGTGTATTTAGCGATTTTATTGAAATATTTATTGTACATATTATTATAATTATGGATTATTGAAATATACATAATTATTATAAATTGCTGAGTTAAAATAAATAACCTGACTCCGACAAATTTTATAAAGTTGTATTAATTGTGATTTTCCTACTACTTATAATACATGTATTAAAATGTTAATAAATTTTATAACTTATTTCTAACAAGCAACGTAATGGAATAAATATATTATTTTTAATTAGAGGACCAAAAAGTTCAAAAACTCATTTATAAAAACATTCTAAATTTGAAACTTGACAAATGTGAATTTTCGAGCACACTTTTGACAAACAGTCAACATAAATGGAAAAGCGTGTCTTATAAATAAAATTACACAATGGGAGTGTAAGTGGTTTTTTTTATTTATTAAATAGTTTGAAGTTTATATAAACTAACTAATGAAGGTTTCTTTTATGTTTCAGGCTAGCATCGATCTTGTAAGTACCTGGTTTTTATCTCATGTTGCAAATCTCAAGACAATTTACCTATTCCAATTGAATTGGCTTTCGAAGCTTCTTATCCAATATGATTGACAGGGATTTAAGCGCCCTTTGAAAAAGTCGATTACAGTAAACCTTGTCAGTTGAAAACCTTTTTTAAAGAATGCCGATATCGTTTTGCTATATTTACAAAAAATAATAAAACAATTGATAAACCAAGACAACAAAAATATTCGTTTTAAAACGCGAAATATAGTTATTTAGTTTGACTACTACGATCCAATTTTACGCGTACCTTGCAGCCATTAAACTAAGTAGAAAGTATTTAATTATAATACACTTTTGATAACTAAATTTTTTTTATTAGTACCATGAAACGTGTATATAATTGTTTTGTCATTTCAGCGGTCCCAGAGACCCAAAAACACCAGTCAAAGGTGTGCTTCCACGGATTAAAAACCTTCTGGTACAACATCACAAGGGACTTTTTGGCGTCATAGTTCCTCTGGTAGTATTGCCATGGCAACCACAAAAAGGATTGGTAATATAGCACAGAACCATTAATATTGTCTTGTATTTAGTTAGATAATTATACATATTTCAGAAAAGATAGCTAAGTACATTATTAAATATGTTACTTCTTTAATTACTTGATTGATAATGTTGTATCATTTAATTACGTAACGCGTTACGGCAACAAATGCAAGAACGTTTTAGGGGCGTTACAAGTCGAGATTTTTGACTTTGCAGTACATTATTTGTATTTAAATTATCTGATATCTGTTTGCAGCACGACATTACTGTCATGTGCATGTGGTTTTGGATGTTTTGGTTCTTTCTCTTGCAACCGGTGAACATTCCGGTGGTGGGTTTGGTGCCAGTCTTCCTTCTCCCTATGGCTGGGGTCACGTCATCTGCTGATGTTTGCTCATGTTATTTCAATGTAAGTAACAAACATACGTTTCACAGTCTTTAACTAGCGCTTTATTGATATTTGTAAATTAGAATTTAGGAGATGGATAAAAATCTAGAAAGCAATTAAAATTAAAACGCAACGTAATTGGACGTATTGGAAAATGGTCAGTCATTTCTTTAAGTCAAAAACTTATAGTAGCTAATTCTTCTGCTTAGCTTTCTTTGTGTTATATAAGGCTGCTATAGGCAGAGTGGCCTAATAACGAAAACATTATTTCCAATAAAGAGCAAAATAAAAATGCACAATTAAGTTAGGCGAAGTAACGTAAATTCAGTGTATAAATTTGTGTAAGGCTTTCATGGCCATGATAATTAAAATATACATGGAGGTTGAGAACCTCTTCTTGCTCACGTCGGCCGAACAGCCCGAAAGACATGATATGTTCTTGTAGATTGACATTTTTAGACTATTAGGATATTGATAACTTAAGTCATAAAATTGCAGCTACTTTTTCTCTAGCGGCTTCATATTTACAAGGATTCGAACTATCTATCAAATAACCGTCCTCTGGAGATGCTAATCAGACTATTATATTACAGGAGAACATAGCGCTTTTTATTTTATCTGGAATGGTTCTCCTGCTGCTAAACATGTCGGGCATAGACAGACGAATAATACTTTGGCTTTTGTGCTCTGGGGATAACTGCCAGTTCTCGGGGAAAAGGTATGTAACATTATTGTTTACATATGAGGTTGCTAGAGGCAGTGGTCTAAAAACAAAAAACAAGATTTTCAATAAAGAGGAAAAAATATGCCAAATTTACTTAGGCAATATTGAATTTACACTATTATTTGTGTAAGAATAATGTTAACAATTTTCGGTTACTGTTCTCTTGTAGATTAACATTGTTAGATTATAATAATATAAAGAAGTCGTCATAAAATTGCAGTTAGGCTACTCTGCTTCTAGCGGCCTCATATATAATTGCATTATAAATTATCACTTTCAGATAACATTAAATACAAGAAGCGTAGCTTATTTGCTTCCTCGTAGTCAAAGTCTACGCAAATGCTACAAATTTCTACAGATGTAATATTGGCGTGACATTAAAATACTTTTTTACCTAATGTACCGTTATCTTTTGATTAAAGAAAATTTTAAAAGATCCCTTTTTATATACATTTTGAAATATTAGACTTTGTATTTTTTAGGAAGAAAAAAACATGATTAATGTAAAAAAAATAGAAAATAACTCAATTTTTAAAATAATTTTAATCAATTGAATTAAAGTTTTAATGTTTGATTGCAGAATCGTGTTTAAGTCGAGCGTTGCTGCGTTTGTAATGTCGATGTTTAGTAACCGTCTTATTATAACATCGACGATTACTCAGTACCTTACCCCCGCATATGTTAATCTGCAGGTAATTTATTACCAATTTTATATTAAATTTGTATTCAAAGAAATTCATCAAAGCGCCATCTAGTGGTCAAAGTATCAACTAACGACAGTAATTTTATAATATCTACCTTTCTACTAATATTGCCTTTTCTAGTCATACACGTCACGATACAGAGCTACGGAACCCGATTACGACACCATGAGACATATTGTTTTAAATGCTGTACAAACGTCGTCAGCTATAGGTAACTATCATTTTTGAGCTAAAAATTGTAAGAAAATTTGTTTTGTTATTGACTAGGTCTATGTTTATTTATATTTTTCATCACCTCTTTTAGGAAGTACTGCAATTTTACACTCTGCGTATACTACTGTAGCAATGCGTGCTATGTTTTCTGAGTAAGTTCGATAAAACTAGCACACATTAAATGAAAAAAAATTGTTGAATGCCATAATTGTGGGTAGTTAGATATTTGTTTTGTTTTAGAATTCCTTATCAACTACAATGTATTAGTGTGTTGAATATAATAATATGTATTTAAGTACAAATGAGTTTTGAATTTCAGGCAAGACAAATCCTTGGTATTTCCGGATATATACAATTTCTTGCAATATTCCTTCTTTGCTTTTCCCACTGCGTTTCTGATGTTCATTTTGAATATGTGCTATCACATGTTACTTATTAATTGGTAAGTTACAAGTGATCGAATGTTTTTCTAATCAGTTGTATGAAATGCTCATATTATTTAAAATTCAAATAGAGATTACAACAGAAATTATGACATTTAAATGAAAAAAGCGTTTTTGGTATGTTTTAAACAATGCAGTTTTACCGGTATAAAGGGCGAGACCACGGCTGCTGGAAAGCATCTAAAAATCGAATCCCTAACTCGGCTTGTAGTTTAAATAATTTTTAAATAAGTAAGTTAAAAAATAAAGTTTAATTTAAATGAATACTACTCATATAAACTACAGACAGTACTTGTTTTCAATATGTTTTTATTTTGTTTGGGATTTTAATATTAATAAAACTGTTTAAATGAATTTCAGTGTGATCGGAAGACCGATGAGCGCCAGCAGTATGACTGAATTCAGGAGCTCTTTGTTGAAACAGAAGAGCAATATCCCGAAGGCTGTTTCACGTCATGAAAAAGTATGTTTTAAAATAAATATCGCATTTAGACTACTGAAAACATATGAAACTTTACTGTATTTTCATCTGTAAATTTCGATATGCCTATCGCCCATTTAATATCCACGTCTCTAGACAAGCAAGTCTTACATGTTTCAGAAGTATTATAAATCCATTAGAAACTTGGAGCCCGTGGGGATCGAATCCACGACCCGTCGATTATTATAAGCCCTACATTGCTACCATTACATCGAAGTCAAATTTTCAAATATTGTTTACAAATCATAATTTTTTTCATTAGAACAGCAGTTAAATTTTAATTTGAAACATTTCTTACAGATGTCGCTGCTCTTCAGTATTCTGTACCTGGCAGCTTTATTCTTTCGATGGAGTCGATACCGCGGTGCATCTTGGTCAAAATTCCGCACCATTCCCAATTTTGATGATTTTCCAATGTACGTAAGCCTTTCATGACATTGCTATTTTGGAAAACTTAAATATTTTTCACATGCACTACTTATTGTGCACATGATGGCACTATATAAATTTAAAATCAATTTCATCTACAGCGTTCCGTACTGTTACTCTAAACAATTGAGTTGAGAGCAATGTTCTGCTGCATAAAGGTCTAGGCCACATTAGAAAAACAAACCAATATCGTTAAAACTGTTTTGTTTATGAAACATATATGACATACTCGTGCATTTTTCCTGTAATAGTGTGTTTCGTGAATTTTTCAGGATACATGACGCAACTGTGGCTGCGATATTCGTCTTGGCGATTCACGTGATACCAAAGACCTGCGGTTGGGCGAAGATACTACAAGCTGACAGTAAGCTTTTTAAATCCTCAAAAATAGATAGTTGTTGTAGTTTCCCAGGCTGATACAATAGAGAGAGCGAGACAGAGATATCATAGTTAATAGAACTAAAAAACAGTCAAATATGTAAATATCAAAGACATTTAAATAAAACAATTGGACGATTATAATGCGATAGTTAAATTTTCTATATATTTTAACTAAGGCCTGAGGTTTCGGATGCTTTGCAGCAGCCGTGGTCATGGGAAACTGCAGTTGAAGGGTGTCCCTTCAACTTCAAATCTGCTACGCTAGCGTCATCTGTTTCTTCGTAGTTAGTATTTAGAAAATCTAGCTGGGTCCTTACAAAATGAGCTCACGGTCTTTCGTTTTTGAAATTTTAAACCGTAATAACAACTTAATATATAAATTACTTATAGGACAATATTTAACATTCAAGTACTTAAATCAAAATTTCAAGATGAATTTAAAATGTTGTTTAGGGGTGTAAATGGGTGATTAGACTTTTGTTGTCTCCCCGACCGACAAACTTTATCTATGTATTGCCAGTGCCCTAATAGGTAGTGCATTGAACAATCAATCCCCAATGCAGGCTAAAAATGGTAGGATGAAGTGGTTCTTTGTTTATTTCAGAGAAGAGTCAATGCGGTTCGCTGAAACCTGACTCTGCTGTAATGTGGTGGCGATTTGTTGACAAGAATACGAATTATGGCTATATTATATTGCTGGGTAAGTATGTAAAACACTTAACTGCTTAAAACGCAAAGTATATGCCTTAATTTATTTGTATATTTTTTGTAAGTTTATTTATTGTCTAACTGAAACAATATTTTATATTTATTCCCTTGCTAACTATGTTTGTATATAAAAATTAAAAAGATAATGTCTATATATAGGTCGAGCTCGTTGGTTAAATGGTAAATGTACAACTTATAAACAACGGTCATAATTAAAACATTTTGAACGGCTTAAAACGCGACGCGAGTATATATTTTTTAATTTCTGGGCCGCAATAACATTTGATTATTGAATGATGACAAGAATGTCGGATCGTATATCAAAACAAAATCTTTTGAGTTTTAAACCGTTCAAAATGTTAGTTAATGTAACATTATAATACTTTAGTTACTAACCCATGTTATTGATGAAAATATACAAGATAAAGGTGAAACGCTTGTCCTATTTCTTTTCAGGTTCCGGCATCGCGCTGGTTCGTGCTATCAAAGATACGAAGGGAAGCTCGAAGTGTTATGATTTCTTCAACGGCATTCAGAGTATAGTTAACACCAGTATGAAGAAGCATATAGCCCTGATCGCCTTCTTGGCGGTGGTTGCTCCCAATATCATGACCGGCGTAGCTGGTCTTATCTCTCTTTTGCCTTTGATTATTAACATAGTAAGTTCCTTCATTCATAGAAATTGCGTATGGTGTTTACATTGAAATCTATTTACATTTAAAAATAAATTACAAGACGGCATCTGGCATAACTGGTGTTAATAAAAAAATGGTAAATTGGTCATGTGAAATTTAAGTTTTCATATATACGGTATCTTAATTTCCTCTCCTACGTACTTTAAAATATTACTTAAAATTTATAAATCTGGATAAAGATACCTAGAGCAGAATAAAATAATATGTATTCTGTGTTGACGGTGGATCTTGACCCGCCTTCCTACCACTGATTCGTGGTAGGAATATCGAAATTCCGATTTTACTCTTTTTTAAAAATTCTAAAAATAAAATGTTCCAGTCTATAGGGATTATTTATAATTTTCTTATGACTATAAATTTTAATAAAGCATATTTCTTGACTGACCAGCCCCCAGGAACTCGTAGAATCCAGGTCTCCCGCCCTCGGTCAGAAGAGATCTGGAGTTTTTAAGTCCAGCTTATTATAATAATGCTATGCTACCATTAATTAGTTTTGTGTCTAGTATTAGTAGCCGGTTTATAATAATGGCAATACACTTATGGAGTATTGAAGTTCTCTATTGTAAAGCATTAATTCGTAATTGCAGAGGACTGAGGAAGGAACAGCTGCTTGGGATACCCACAAGTATTCTGCGATCCTCGCTGCCGGTATGGGGACATCTTATGGCTTCATGATGCCGTTTTTGTATACTCCTGCTTACTTCTGTCATTTCACTGGAAAAGTTCCTAAAAAGAAGATGGTAAGGTCAACACACTTCGAATATCCTAGAGGCATTGAAACCATGTATTTGAAGGTTGAAATTACATTGCGCTAGAGAATACGCATTGAACAAATTTGATCACGGGCTACTGAATTATAATTATAAGAGTAACACTCCTGCGAATAATAGATATATGCGACATTAAAATACACTAGAGGTATTGATGAGCTCGAGATCTGCCGTGTGCCATGAATTTTGTCAGAAAACGTTACAGAAATAATTAATTATTGCGTCAATGAGTTAATATATAAGCCTAATGGTGGCAATAATTAAGGTGTCATAGGTTTGATCCCCACAATGTTTCTAATCAATTATTTCTAAGACATGGTGTTCTTTGTGTGCAAAATGGGTGGTAGTAATAAAAAATTGTATCCAGATTTACCTTCCATGGAAGAAAAAGCCGTGAAGTTTAATTGCGTTTCGGTTTCCAAATGACCAAGGTTGACTGCGCGCCTAAATGCTCAGATGTTCACCTTCTATCAAGTATACCCCTTGCTTGTCTGTTCTCCTCTAAAATTGTAATAACCTTACAGATTTTGTACTCTATCGGGTCTGTGATCATTTGCGGTATTATTCTGTGGGCGGCGTGTTGTTTCTGGGCACCTGTGATTTTTTCTCCTGTCGAGAAGGGTCACGACGGTGTCACGATCACCGCTGGGGGAGGAGGAGGAGGAGGAGGAGGTGAAGGTGGTGGTGGCGAGGGTGGTGAACCAGAACCTGAACCATAGACTTGGCAGACAACTTTATAAAAACCATGAAGGTTGTTTGTCCTTTTCCTTATTGAAACCTAATTACGGTAAAGCTCAAAACTTGTATGTATGTAATGTTGAATTCGATTGATATTTATTTATATAACAGTTTGATTTGTACTATTTAATATATTTTATCTCTTAATCTCACTTGTAAGCCTTGCTTTGCAGACTTAAAAGGTTGGAGTTCGAATTCCGTGATTAACTTTCAATTGTGGTAGGAACAGTCTTATCGCCCGTTCTTATAATGTTTTTGGCTTAACAAATGACTAAAATACATTTCTAAACCTTACTATAGGTGCTTCGCGGTGTCTAACGCATCTTGATTGCTGTTCTTGTTTTAAGCTGAGAACTAATTTAAATAAAACTAACACAATTACACTGTAAATCAAATTGATAAGAAAGCCAATTAACGAGATGCATTTTCACGTAGGGGATATGGGGTTTTAATCTGTTTAAAATGGCGGATAGATAGTTAACTATATCATTACTACTATTACAATTATTGATACATTCTGCCAAATGGTATCTCTTTTTCATTCCTACTTTTAAAGTAATAAAAATATAAATGTATGTAATATTTCGTTAGATCCTATTTCAATTACTCTATTTTTCTTATGTGTACAATGAAGATATTTGTTTTTGTTTTATTTTTGAGGTTTGTAATTGACAAATAACATTGTTGTACTTCCAGCTATATTCTTAAATGTGAGTCTCACCTAAGTTGTAATTATAGCTAGTTTTCCAATAAAATACAATATATTAACTGGCGACTTTCTTTTATTAATTATATAATTTCGTAATTAATCGCTGTATTTGTATTATTAATATAGTTTAATTAAATTGTGTTCTTGTATTCTCTATCCAATCTGGATGAAGAAGAAGATCCGGCCAAATAACAGGAGCCCAGACGTAAATGCATATCCAAGATATTATTATTGTTGATATTGTTGGACCAAAACCAGCTTTAATCTAAAAATATGAGACTGGATTAATAAGAAAGTTTAAATATAATTACATAATTTAGTACGGTTATGCTTGAAATTAATTTAAAACAAATTGTACTATCATGTGAATATCGAATTTAATTCCTTGGGCTATATGTCATGATCATGAAGTCTAATTTTCATTCATTCGATCCTCGAGTCATTAGCCTCCTCTTGTGTTAACATCTGCAAATTATTTACTTGTATATGAGCTTTACCATCTTTGTAGTTGGAATATTAGCAACGCTCTGAACAACCAAGTTTCCAGGCGTTCCGACTGGTAGACAAAAAGCGTATGACGACGAATAACCGGCTGCAATGTTGTACCAGAGCGGGTTTTGGTTGATTTCTTTGGCCTGAAAGTTAGATAACTGCAATTGTATAAAGATAGCAGTATAATACATATTTTACTTATTCACATTCAATTGTTATTTTCGTCATATATTGAACAAACAATTGAATTTGATAAAGAAGTTTCTGCAAACTATCACAAATATTTGCTTTTATGTAGCACAAACCCTTTTTTGCACACACCCGTGTGTGACATTTCGTTACTCCTGGGTTCAAATCTCCGGAAACCACACTGTTTCGGTAGGGCAGAGTCCAGAAGTCTACGTTCAATTTTCAAAGTCAAAGGTCGACACCACACCTTGTTTAGATGTTATATGAGTGGGATATTTTTACCTTCCAAGTAAACTACTTGCTTGTCTGTCGTTTGTTATGAAAAGTGGCCGTAAATAATCCCGTCCAGTATAACAAATGGAAATGTAGCTGCTCTGGCCTTCATACAAGAAAAATGTAATTTTTTGCACTATCTTTAGTTGGTACATTTAATGCTACACTTATACCACAAAAAAAAATGCACTAACCAATTGCATAACAATCGGCGTTATGACATTACAAACAGCGACATTAGAAGCGAAGTTCGTTATAAACACGGTAAACATTATTATCAATAGAAGGATCGTTCCGTTGCCCAAATATCTGAAGTCGCTCAACACAGCTCCGATTTTTCCATTAAGATCTGTGTATTCTTCTTTAGCTGCTTCTGATAGAGCAAATCCACCTCCTAAAAGGAACCATATTTACTTGTTAGCTAATAGCTATCCGTTTTTTTTCGTATATAATACAGTAATAGAACAATATAATCAAAATATTTTCTTAAACAAAGTAAGAACAAAAACGCATTGTCCGTAGTTTATGTGGGTAGTACACATTTAAATAAAAAACTTAACGGTTTAAAACGCAATATCTATTTAACTTATTTTAATTTTATTCGAACTACGACTCGATGTTTTAAATGCTTTGAAGCCGAGGTCGTTTTTAACCGTTATAAGTGATTTATTAAAATCTGTGCTACAAATAGTTCTTACATATTATATAAAAATTAATAAAACGAATAATTTAATGTTTTTTTTAATGTGGAAAATGTAAGTTTATATTAAATTACTTTATAAGCTAGAAGAGTACCTAATAAAAACATGAAGCTGTACGGCATAATGTCATTCATTGTTTTCCACTGGAGAACCGAAGGTATAGGATGTTTTGGCAGATCCTCGTACACTGAAACCGTTATAAATTCTTAAGTCTGAACCATATTGCTTTTCATGTATACGATAAGTACATATTCACTACAGAACCTAAGTCCAGGCAAGGAAACATTTACATTATGTTTAGTAATAAAAATACCTTTAGCTCTGCAGTTATTAAAGAAATTCAGGGTTGATGGTAATAAATACATTAGAAATGCAACCAGCATAGCTGCTGCGGAATCTCCAATGCTGCAAATAATAGAACTGCGGTTACACTTGACTGCAGATTAAGAAGCACTAAGAGAGAGACTCTAACTGGAATTTATTTATAGTACCAGCTCGGAGTCGGTAAGCAGAAGGTGTCATCTCCCCGGTTTTTAGCATTGCTTGTTAGGCCGTCCGGTTCTCATCACTAATTTAGTCGCACGATTGGTTAAAACCTGCTAACTGCTAGCCTGGTGGCAGGTTTAAAGTCTCTTTTGATAGAATGGACTTGTGCTTAGCAATATAATTGAATTATGGAGATAAAAACAGGCCTATAAGACAATAATGTAATGACGTTCGTTTGTTTTCCTACAAAATGCTGTTTTTTGTATTTAGAAGCTAATTTGTTTATTTGTCTGCTTTCTTTGTGCCGTTCGACCGAAACTATTATTTTTCCGGGGATAAAACTTTAGATGTTTATCAAATCAAGCAAAGTTAGGCACTGCATTTTACTATTGTCATAATACATAGAAGGATATTGTACGTACAATTTCTTATTGCCCAGAGTGAAATAATCTACAATTCCGTCGCCCCAGCCTGTGAATATCTGTGGCGAGCGGCAGAAGAACAAGGAAATTCCGAAGCTAAATAGTAGAATTACCATCTAAAAAATATTGCCTTATAATATCGTATTTTTTTTATTCGTATTTATGTATAGTATAAGTGTTTAACCAACAATTTCCCAAAAGGTTATTCTACCCAAATTATTATAATCTTCATTAACTACTTTCTTTGCTGCTTCTATACCAGATGCTGTGAGTTTAGACCTTTGTGCAGCATCACTTTTTGGTCTGAAATTTTAAAATAACCGAATGACTCAAACGTGACCAAAAAAAATATTTATAGAAAATGTTGCAATGGAATTCTACAACTAACAGTAGACGGGTTGACTACCACTTTGGTTCAGTAGTTGGTATACTCTACTGCAGAAAACGAGGTTCCTGGTTCAAATCCAAAAAAAATTAAAAAAATTATCATTTGGTTTAAAGAAAATTATTATTGTATTGAAACAGTATTAAAAAAACCTTTCCTTTGGAGCCAGCCATAAAAAATTCCTCCAAAAAACCCACAATAGTATATATGATTCACTATATCCCCTTTGAAGAAATTCTGAAGAAAAGATGCAATCACCTTAAAAATCCCAAGTAAACTATCACCAGATACAAATACATAGCAGCTTCCATTAAGAACATATAAGGGAGAGCGAATGCCGAGAACTTGGGAAATGATAAGTATTCTGGAGCATTTGGATAAGTTCTGTAAGAAATTAGTTAACTAATGAACACTACAACAGATTAGATAATAGAGTACCAGGAGGTTAATGGTGGTTTGTGTGGATACCTATTAATACGTTTTAATCCGACATTTGGGGTGTTTTGCAGCAGCCGTGGTCACGGGAAAGGAAACGTGGGGATTAAAAACATTTTCAAATAAGTTTATTCAATATATCGCGTTTTAAACCGTTAAAGGAAACCTAAGTAGATACAATATTTAATATATACTATATTTAATATAAAACCCAGGAACCTTTGACGACTCAAGTGCTGAAGGGTCGGAGTTCCATCCGTTGCCATGGGTAAAAAAAGTCTTTGTAAATTATCTCCCCCTTAGACCAGAAAATTCGATCAGTCAATATTATCTTACAGTATCAGCTACCTCCAAGAATCAGAATATAATTCAATCGTACTAACTCCTTAACGTGATAGAAATATAAATTAAGTACTTTGAAAATAAGCCTTTGAATACGAAGTTCGTCGCTGTCCCTACTAAAGTACCAACGCCACCTGAAAATTTTAATGAGCGTCAATGTGAGAAGAATGCGACTTAAATCTTATCTAGGTTTTTCAGCTTTGTGCGCGTAATGTTTTTAGCGAGAAGAGTTTTCTAAAGAGTTACTTTTTCATTCATAATGGTCGTGGTCTACATTTTAGCGTTCAAAAATATTTTACGTCTAATGGGCATTTTAAGTGGTACAATAATCTGGATAATATAATTGTTTCGGTTCAGTCTAAGCATTTCAGAATGTATGTGTTATTGTGATTAGATGTTATTGTGGCTGAGCCATTTACACCAATCAATCAGTCATATCGTGTCCCAGGCGAAATTCGGAACCTCTTAGTATAATTACTAAACTGATGGTTTTTCAAGTTCGCTACTAAGTGTAAAAACTTCGTACTATATTTCGCGCTTAAACCTTTAAAATGTTATATCACGGACAAATGAGATTGTCTGTAGTTTATAGGTCAAAACCCTTACGGGACAATGAACAACGCTGGGCATTGTTCAATAAAGTTAATATTTCGCGTTTTAAACCGTTAAAAGTGTTTTATTTAAATGACAATAAGATATACCTATAGTAGCAGAAAATGTTGCGGCACAAAAATAACACGTCGTTATATCGGATGCGACGCTCTCGCCGTTTTTGTTTATCTCGTAAATAGATAGTAAACTTTGCTGTAATGAAGTAAAAATACATAGTTAAATATTAAGAAACAATATTTTTATAAAAGGCTTCTTGGTCTAATGTTATCGATGTATGACTAATAATAAACAGGCCATAGCGTGGGTTCGATCCCCAATCAGTCCAACAATGTGAGTTTCTAAAGTCAAAATCGATCGACACCGACCCAACACAATATGTGGGATTCACCTTCTATGAGTAAGCCCCAGCATTTAGTCCTATTAAAATGATTATATGGAGCTTAAAAGAATAAAAATATAATTATTATCTTATATTACTTGTTATCAACTCACCTCTTCAAACACTTTCAGGAGAGCGAAATTGATTGGTACCATCAACGTTGTTGCCGCTGTATTCGTTATCCACATCGAAATAAACATAGTAATAAAACACATCGCAAATAACAATCTATAACACATAATTTGTCTTTTATTTACCCGAGTAGTACATAGAGACATACTATATTGGTCCGAAAATAAACATTACAATTATGTGTAACATGGACAACTCTTATTTCTTAACCTACATAAAAGCGACTTTTGTTTTAAATAAAACACTTGTAACACTTAAAATGCGAAATATATTATACAATTGGATTGTGACTGAGTTAGATTAATTATATTTCGTGTTTTGATATGTTAAAAGTGGTTTTTTAACGCAACAATGTTATTTTGTTCTTACTTAGGATAAGAAATAAATAGTTGTATTTTTTGCATACAGTTGTTATTTTTGTTGTCGTAGCAATGTCTTTATTAATATGTACATATTATTTGAAAACAATAACACAATTGTGTAATGCTGAAAGCAAAAGACGTTGAACCTTAATACGCATATGTTAAGGTTGAAATCACATTGCGCGGGAGGTGCATGTATCAGTAAGTTGAAAAAATTCGACGATGAGTTGTAGGACTCGGTAGCTCAATTGGTAGAGCAACAGCACGGAACGTTGACGATGCCGATTCAAGTCCTGTCCGAGTCGAAAATTGTTTGAATTTATTTTCGATTTTTAATTATATGTACATATTAATATTAATTAATATAATTTTAATGAGCCAGTGCCTACAATGGCTAATATGAATTTATATTACATAAAAAAAATATTGAGCTAACATGTTCCACACAGGACAAGCTAGCTCAATTGGATATTGAAAATGCTTTTTCTGATGAAAATTATGAAAGCACTGCCTACAATAGATGCTGAATCTGTACTTGTAATGCGAGTATCCAATAGCACGAATAGCCCACAGAGCTAATCGTTTATGGAGTCCGGATTGTTCAACTGAATACGCCAATATCATGCTTCCGAGGAACATCATTATAGTGTCCTGTTATTTTACATAAATAATAATAAGGTAATTGAAATATTAATAAGAAAAATATTGATAAAGAAATAATAAGCATTGATATAAGGATTTAATACTGTAAACATTCATAAATGTTCCTAACAAAGGTAATATAAATAACAAAGAATAATTTCAATAAAGTGAGTAAAATCCTGTTGGGGCCCTTATGGGGCATGGGGCAAACTCATGTGTTCATTGACGTATTGCATCGTAAAGTCCTTCCCGACAGAGTTGCTTTGAACAATTTTTTTTTCGCTGGGATTCGAACATAGCACTCTTCATGTTTAGGTCGATTACTAAGAAGGCAATGCAAGGTAACGTGCTAACCGAGCTGTGGATATAGTCATGTAGAAAGTAATATAGAAAATTATTTCTATTTTAACAAGCAATATAGCTCAAAAATTATTATTTTTTTTTTTTTGGTCTTGTGCCTAAAGGTAATCCTCACTATGCATTCGATGCTTGATAAATAAATAAAAATAACGAATGGTCCTTTTTTAATAGCGTTATAGGCCTTTGATATACTTAGCTCTTACATTCATATAACACCGGCAACACTCAGCAGTACTCATTATTCCCGTAAGTGGAAATACTATGACAGGTAGAAAAGAGGTCACAGGTAGCGGAATACATTCAGTTACCCAAAAAATTGCCATCAAGACCAGGGTATAACCACACCATTGATACTTCTGTAACGAAGCGGTGAAGTAAAATGACGCTGTACGTAATAGAAATATTCGAGAATAGCTCATTTGCAAAGAGCAAACGGGACTATCGTGGGATCGATTCTATAATATTTCTTTTTAGTTAATATATTATCGCGTAAACTACATACTATTTTTTTCCCATTTTAAACCGTTAGAATTCATTTTATGAAGTATAAAAAAAGTTAAAAAAAAATATAATTTGGTAGCGATAACAAACGAGGAATTGCATCGCTGATCTTATATATTTATATATATACATTTAACATGTCTATAAACTAAATAATTTAATTTGATGACCACAGTCACGGGTTCGACTCGACACCCAGATCAACCAACATGTACGGGGTTTAGTTATTTTTAAATATGTTGGAATCTAAATCTTAATTTAAAATTAATAGGACAGGGAAAAAAAGTGATCATGTAAAATTTTGAAAATTATTCTTTATCGAAGTTTTCCTCACCTTAGTAGGAAACGAAAGAATTAGGGGTATTAGGATGATTGGAGAAATTATACAGACTAGTCCTCTCCAGTAGGTACAAATAATAAGCTTAAACTTATCCCATATCGATAACGACGTCTCGTCTATTCTGTAAGAATAAAAATAATAAGATGCTTTGCAATTAAAAAAATACTGTTAAGTTAAACTATATAAATTTAAAATCTATAATAAAATAAATTACAAAAACGTACGACTCCGGCCGGGCTTAGAACGGTATCGTCAGCCTACCGTGCTGTTGCTCTAACTAATATTAAGGTTGAAATAACATTGTGTGAGAGGTGCATGTATCAATAAGTTAAAAAGTTCAAATCAATTGGTTAGAGCAACAGCACAGAACGCTGACGATGCCGGTTCAAGTCCTGGGCGAGCCGTATTTTTTTTTTATTTATAATAGATTTTTAATTTATATAGTGTCATCGTGGTCATTATCATTAAACATACAGAGAGTCTACATAACTAGAGGGAACCAAAGTGTACACACAAACAGTAATATTAATTTCGTGCGCCTTTACATAATTTTTAGCAAAATCGATCAAACGAACTCTTGCTATGACATGACAGATTCGTTGTTCAATGTTCAATGCACAACAGATCAACACATCGAGTTGTGGATTTGTTTCCCACCCTATTGAAAATTTGTCGTTCGGCCGCGTCTAGTAAATAGATACATTAATTAGCTGGTGGGATTATAAAAATTCTATCACAAACCACGAATCGCAAATGAAAAAGCCGCGTAGCGTAAATGAGATGACAGTAATAATATTTCAGTCGACTATTAAAATAGGACAACAGCGCATTTTAAATAACACTGGCGTATTCCGCCAATTCTTTGTCTTTTTTGTAAAAATATTATCAACTACCCTCTACAGCCTAAAAATTTATTAAACAGAGTTTAATTTTAAAAAGAAATTGTACTTAACTTACGGGATATCTTTTTCCTCTGTCTCTTGTAAAGTTTTATCAATATTTGTAAGACTTGCGCTAGGTGACGACATTTTTTCTTTGTTTACCAACGAGATGTGTTCAATATCTAGTAAGCCATGTGTACTGAATAGTAATAACTATGCATCATTTGAACTTATATTCCGACGTTGGGCACGTGTTGCCCCTGTTCCAGGATTATAGGGTTTTAAGTAGTTGAACTCACTACGCTGCACCAGAGCGGCTCGGTAGGTCACGATTTTAAAAATTAGTAAAATAAATATAAAACAAAAATTAAAATATTAATCTGAACTTTATTGCACAAACACGTAACATAACATTGTAACTTCATAGCTAACTATAAATGAAAGAAAAATCGTCTTATAACAAAACTCTTAAGACGAAAGTTTATTTCGCCCAGTCCGGCATCAAGTGCAAGTCCGGCCAAATGACCGGGGCCCAGAAGTACACGGCGAGCCAAGTTATAATCACAGTTAGGACTGTCGGGACAAGGCCGGCCTTTATCTGGAACCAACCATTGAAAATTATCAAAACTTTATACGCTGCGTCCTACGCCATAATCGGGCACGTTTGTGTTTCCTTGGCTCTTTTTAAATGTACGCGATGAGCCTTGCGTAGTGTTTTCGTGACTGATAATTTATTTTACTTGGGCATGATAAGTATAATAGTAAATTAAAGGAAATTTTAATGCATTTCATTTATGGGGCCTCTCACCCTTGTCAAACTTTCACTTCAAAAAAACAATTTTATATACACTCTCGTCGGTGTTATTAAAAGTTCTCATGACAATATAGAGTATACTGCCATTTAAATAAAACATTAACGATGTAAATGCGAAACTACGGCCCGACGTATGCTTTTCTGCGATAGTAAACAGGGCTATTACGAATAAATCATTAAGTAATTAATATATCGTGATTTCTAACTAAAGCTCTTTGTTACTAATAACGAACACACCATTTTCTGTGTAGGAATACTGGCCGAGCTTTGAACTATCAGATTTCCAGGAGTGCCTACTGGTACCATAAAACAGAAGGAAGCCGTGAAACCTGCTGCAATGCAGTACCACAGAGGATTTTGGTCGATTTGCTTGGCCTGTAACATATATATTTTTTAATGTTGAGGAACTGGCAAAATACAGTACTATATTTTAAGTACTATTTAAAAAGCTACTTGTGTCGACCTTCGTAAATGATGTATCACGCAATTGACGAGCTCGTTGGTGTAATGGTAACAATACACAGCTAATAATCATCGGGCCATAGGTTCGATGCCCATCGAGTCCCAACATTTTTTAATCAATTCATAATTTTTCTGAAACATGTTGGTCTTTGGAAATCTGGATATAAAATGGGTGATGAGAATATGGAAATTCCATCCGGGTCACGAGCCACCGTCGACAGATGAAAGGGTCGCGAAGTTAAATTGCGTTTCTGTTTCAGTCTGTGTTTTTCCGAACAACCAAAGACAAAGTAGGTCGTGAGCGCAGCTTGATTTTTTTTGTTTCTTTTCTTATTCACTATCGACTTACCATTTGCATGAAAATAGGCGCAAACACGTTAACAATAGCGACGTTTGAAGCGAAGTTCGTAAAGAATATAACGATTATGATTATAAGCAAAATTATCAGAATGTTCGGTAGCGTTTTCAAATTTGAGAGTGACTCGCCAATCTTCTCGTTCAGGCCCGTTGTCTTGGCCGCTTCGGACAGTGCAAAACCGCCTCCTGTATATAGCAAACAAAAGATTTCATACGAAATATAACTAATGCCTTCTCATAATTAAAAATAAAAAAATCCTTATTAAAGATACATTAGTGCAATTGATTAAATCTGGTTAAGGAAATATATATTTTTTTTATTCGTTAACCAAGTTTTCGACGCTTTGCAGCAGCCGTAAGTTTCACTAATATTATTTTCGCTTTATTGTAAAAAAGTGTTGTGTTTTATATAAATGTTTGATTAAGCTTACCCAGAAGAAATGTAAAGCTATACGGCATAATGCCAACAATTTCGGACCAGCTTAAGACGGAAGGAATACTTGATTTTGGCAGTTCTTCGTGATCTGGAAGCACTAAGTATTAAAATACTAAACACCCTTAAAATATGCAAGGTGTACTTTGATTTCAGTTATACACTTAGCAACTAATTTTAATATGAGGGTGCTAGAAGCAGAGTGGCCTAATACCAAAAAACATAATACTCAATAAGGAGGAAAATAAAAACGCAATTTACTTAGGCGAAAATTAATTTGCACTTTTTTTTGTGTAAAAATTATGTTAACAATTGTCGGACACTGTGCTCTTGTTGATTAACATTTTTAGACTATGAAAATACAAAAAACTTATGTCAACCAATTGCAGTTAGACTACTCTGTCTCTAGCGGCCTCATATATAAATATCTTCATGTATTGTTTTATAATTGTCTATGCATTCTTCAAAACGTAATGCAGCTAGATAACAATACAATAGCCATGCCTACAAAAAGTATTGCAACTGCTCCCTTACATTTTCCAGTAAAGTTTTTGATAATGTCAGTAGTCGACGGAAGAAGAAACATCAGAAACATCACAACAGATGCCAAAGCCGAATCGCGGACGCTGTAAAAATATATCAATACAATAACTTAAAATAGTACAAAGAAATTTACACAATTTGTATCCGTACAATTTCGCATCCTCTACGTTGAAGTAACCTTTAATAGCGTCTCCCCAACCGGGAAAAACTTGAGGCGACCGGCAGAAAAACATGACCATAGCACCGCCGAATAAAATGATGACCATCTACGAAGGGAAACAATATTATTAACACTCAAAAGCTTAAGCAATTCTTCATATATGATGAGATAATATTACGATTTTGAAAAAAATATTCTCTATTTTTCCAGTCGTTGATTTTTTTTTTTTTTGATACTAGATGGTAAAACACGCAAGCCATATAACATCTAAGCAAATACTGTCTATAGTTTACGCGAGTCGTACACATTTAAATAAGACACTTTAACGGTTTAAATCGCGATGTATTAGTTAAACTTAATTGAAAATGATTTTTATCTCCCCGTGAACACGGCTGCTGCAAAGCATCCGAAACGTCGGGCTGAAGTTAAAAATTATTTTCAAATAAGTTTAACTAATATATCTCGTTTTAAACCGTTAAAGTGTTTTATTTAAACATCTATGCAAGTTACGCTATGGGCCTATTTTGGTTTTGGATATTCGGAAATTCACAGACTGAAACCTAAGCTCGTTTAAACTTGACTACTTTTTATTTGTAAATGGAACTTCGATTCCCTAACCAATCAAGATCCAGATTTTCAGACATAGTCCATCAAGTTTCAGAAATATTACAAATTGATTAGAAAAATACTAGACTCAGTGGGGATCGAACCCAGGACTCGTTGATTATTAGCTATCCATTGCTACCATTATACTAACATACAAAATAACTTACTATTTCCCAAAAGGTGATTTGTCCAAGTTTAGCGGAATCTAGTTTTACAGCATTCTCAGCTGCCTTAATACCCTCTGGAGTAATTCTTATTTTCTTAGCCAAATCACTTTGCGGTCTGTAAATTAGATATCATCTAACCTCACACCCATATGTTGTCGACAAAGACGCCAAATTGAATCTATCAAATTGAAGCAACAACGGAAAATGTTAAGGAAACGGGGAAAATTATTCATCTCTATGGGTTCTCGATGCGTACGCTGCAAGAGCGGTCAAAGATACCAAAAAATATGTGTGTCTAAAAAATGTCCGAAAGAGTATATGTCTATCTTTTACGACGGGACGTAGAAAACGTCTTAGGACAACAGGTATACAAAATTTATTAAGATGCGCAGGACAAATGTGGGGTTTGAAAAAAAATTTCTACGCCTAAAACGCGGCCAAATTTAACGCGGCCGCAGTCGCTGACACAGCTAGATAATTTATAAAAAAAAATTACCTGAACAAACCCAAGAATTGAATACCCATGCTTAAAAACATTGCCACTTCCAAAATAATCATATATGGAACGGAGAACGCCGAAAATAATGGAAATGACAAATACTCCGGCGCTCTGGGGTAGTTTCTGAAAAAAAAAATTGGCCTTTGAATGGGTAGAGCACTTGATAAAATACTTTTTAAGAGGTTTTTAAGTACAAATATGAGACTGTTAGAGGCAGAGTAGCCTAACTGCAACTTTATGACTTGATACTTTTAATCTAAAAGAAAAGAGCAAAGTGATGGCAAATGGTAACATAATTTTTAAACAAATAATATTTAAATCATTTTCGCCTAGATTTTATTTTCCTCCGTATTGAAAATCATGATTTTTGTTATTGGCCGCAAATTATTTTAATAATCACAACTTTAACCAAAGCAAGTATTGAATTTTGTATGGACAATCTTGGTCTTCATTTCTCTTTTTGTTTTTCTAACTTATAATATTACAAGTAGATTTTAGGCTCCTTTTATCAACAAAACCAAAATCCAAACTAAAAACTGTAGTACTTACGCTACAAAAAGTCCTTTAAACGCTAAATTTGTTGCTGTTCCCACTAACGTTCCAATTCCACCTGAAAATAAGTGAATTAGCGTTAGGGTGCTAAAGGATTAATTTGTATGTATGTATGTTAGTAGATTTACCTATAGTAGCTGAATACGTCGCAGCGCAAAAATAACAAGTAGTTATATCACTTGCAACCCTTTCCCCATCCTTTGACTTTTCATAGATTACTATAAGTCTTTGCTGAAAAAGAAATACTAAGCATAAAACATATTATTCAAAACATGCCTCTGTGAATCAATAGCGTTGAAATATGAAACTAGACGTCTTAGGTTTGAATCCCGTCAAAATATATTTTACTTATTATGTCGGTAGCACAATAATCCCATCGATTTGTCTGCAAATAAAACAGACACAAAATTGTGTAACGCCATGCCACATATTAGACAAAACGGTATTTTACTGAAACAAAATAAGTGTCCCATTCTATACGCCAACCATTTAGTCTATTAAGCAATGGAATCAAATCAAAAGTGTTCTTTAGGTGTGGTACTGTCTACTTACATCTTCAAACACCTTGAGTATAGCAAAATTGATAGGCACCATCATAGTGGTTGCTGCAGTATTGGTTATCCACATGGAAACGAAGGTTGTAACGATCGACATTGCTAGAAGTAGCCTATAGAATAATGTTATATAGAATTGATATTGTATTTAGTCACCACAGGAATAAAAAGAAGAATAAAGTTTAAATGCATCCCTTATAGATTTACAGATAGTTTAATCTATTGTTTTAATATACAACTAGCTGTGTGTGACTTGGAGTAGATTTTTTTATTATTTAGCCTGTTTATTAATTTATGTAAGGGTGCATTTAAGGCAGCCAATCTGAGGTAAGTGCTACTTTGCCGCAACAATCTCACCTCACATCCCTCCTACTCTAACTCCCAGTCCCATGCCCACTGCCACTCCTACTCCTACACCTACTCCCACTCCTGTTCCCAAAAAGCCAAAGAAGAAAGTTTCACTGTTCTAGCTTCACAAACCACGAATATCAAACTTTCATCCTCTTTTTCAACCCTTATCAACACTTTCTTGACAAAGTAGCCTATGTCCTTTCTCAGGCTCTAAAATATCTGTGTTCTAAATTTCATTTAAATCAGTTTAATAGTTTCGAAGTTAAAGCCGGACAGGCAGAGTTACTTTCGCATTTATAATATTACGAAACATCGATAGAATTATTTTCAACAATTCAGCTTAACTATTTCTTACAACTAAACTGTTCTTTGCGAATACAAACACGTCCTTAGACAACACGCACATACTCCATTTGGTTTTGGACAAGCCAAGATATTTACTTTAATCATCATATCTCAGTAGAATCAATGTATATACAGTCACGCGATTAAGCTTAGAAATAAACAAATGTTGTAGAGCAAGATCTGATCTTGGCCTCAAATCCTTAAGGAAAAAAATTCCGAAAGGAATTTTATATTCAAATGATACATATAACATAAAACACAGTTGAAAAAATTCGACGATGAGGTGTAGGACTCGGCAGCTCAATTGGTAGAGCAACAGCACGGAAAGCTGATGATGCCGGTTCAAGTCCTGCCCGAGTCGAAAATTTTTTCAATTTATTTTCGATCTCTAAAACATATAACATACTTTATATGCGAGTAACCAATTATCCTGATTGCGAAATAAGCGAGCCGTTTATGCAGTCCAGATTGTTCCACTGAGTACGCGAGGATCATACTACCAACAAACATCATTAAGGTATCCTAAAACAATATTGCGTCATTAGCAAAAACCTTACTCAGGCTTAAGTAACAGTAACTTATTTCCGGAAAAAAATATTTTATATAAATGATCAACAATAAAAAAAGAAAACGTTGATTTTTTCATCTTTTACGTTTTATTATTACATAATTCAGTAGCTATTAACTTGAAGATTAAATACTGTCTATAGTTTACGCGAGTAGTACACATTTAAATAAAACCCTTTAACGGTTTAAAACGCGATATATTAGTTAAACTTATTTGGAACTTTTGAAAACATTAATATTTTTCACATGTTATTGCACATGAAGGCACTATATAATTTAAAAATCGAAAATAAATTGAAAAAATTTTCGACTCGGGCAGGACTTGAATACGCCTTAATACGCAAGTGTTAAGGTAGAAATTACATTGCGCGAGAGGTGCATGTATCAATAAGTTGAAAAAATTCGACGATGAGGTGTAGGCTCGGTAGCTCAATTGGTAGAGAAAGACGGAAAGCTAGATCCGGTTCAGTCCTGGAGTCGAAAATTTTTTCAATTTATTTTCGATTTTTAAATTATATAGTGCCTTCATGTGCAATAAATGTGAAAAATATTAATGTTTTCAAACGTTATAACTTTGTAATTTCATCTTCAATATTTCTTAAGCTGCAAAGCATAAGACATTGAGCTTAATAGCAAGTGTTAAGGTAGAAATTACATTGGCGAGAGGTGATGTATCAATAAGTTGAAAAAATTCAGATGAGGTGTAGGACTGGTAGCTCAATTGGAGAGAAAGCACGGAAAGTAGATGGTTAAGTCCTGCGAGTCGAAAATTTTTTCAATTTATTTTCGATTTTTAAATTATATAGTGCCTTCATGTGCAATAACATGTGAAAAATATTAATGTTTTCAAACGTTATAACTTTGTAATTTCATCTTCAATGATTTCTTAAGCTGCAAAGCATAAGACATTGAGCCTTAATACGCAAGTGTTAAGGTAGAAATTACATTGCGCGAGAGGTGCATGTATCAATAAGTTGAAAAAATTCGACGATGAGGTGTAGGACTCGGTGCTAATTGGTAGAGCAACAGACGGAAGTAGATGCCGGTTAAGTTGCGAGTCGAAAATTTTTTCAATTTATTTTGATTTTTAAATTATTTGGAATTATCGCGTCTTAAACCGTTTAAGTGTTTTATTTAAACTTGACGATTTTTGTTAATCAGGAAAAAAATTCTTGCACCATAACTGCTTCGCTGATTTTAATAAAATTTTGCAAGTATTTTCAGAACCGGAAGCCAAATAGTATTCAAATATAACATCTTAATTATTCATATTATACAATATAACATCTTCTGTTTGAGACCTATTATGGCTTTGGAAAAGTATAGACTGACTCCGAAACGCGTATAACTATTAACATTGCACGGGCTGAATTTAAATATTTAACTTCCACAATTTCATTTATTACACACACACAGTCATGAACTCTATTGTATTTATAAAAATGATTATCTTTTAACACATTCATGTCAAGATTTGTAGCTTAAAATGTATACTTACATTCATATACGCTCTGCAGACAGCATTTGTGCTCAAAACACCTGCCCAAGGAAAAATTATGACTGGGAGAAAGGATGTGATAGCTAACGGTATGCATTCTGTGACCCAATAAACTGCCATCAAACACAAACAGTACGCTGCATATTGGTGGGGCTGAAATTCAGGGAAGATGAAAAAATTTGGGAAGGTATGTGAAATAAGAAAAGCGACCACGCTTTTTTTACCTCAGTGGGACTACTCATATACAAAATCGGTAGGAAAATTAATGGCACAACAATGGTTACTATGCCACGCCAGTGCACAGCGGCAAATATTTTAAGTTTTTCAGTTAACTCCAAATCTGGCTCTTCTCTCCTCCTGAAAGGAAAAGAAATAAGATTATAATTATTTAGTCCCAAAGATCACTCATACATAATATATATACGTAATAAGGTAAATACTGTGACATTAACGCCAGAAGTACGCGTTGAAATAAAACAATTAACCGTTTAAAACGCTATATGTATTAGTTTTTTTTCAATTTTTTTAACTACTACCCGTAGTCACTGGCTTCTGTAAAGCATGCAACATGTCGGGCCGTAGTTAAAATTATTAGTAATTTACTTTAAATAATACATTGCGTTTTAAACGGTTAAAATTGTTTTATTTAAATATATAATAAAGTGTTATAATTTTATGTAAATGTGTTCACAGTATGTGGTCACCAGCCGTGGAGACGTTTTCAGGGCAGCTGTTATGCACCCGAAACATTGAGTCTTAATAAAAATTAACCAAAAATCTTTTCAATCCGTTTAGTGTTTTTTAAGCATTCTTGCATAAGCTACAGACTACAGAACATAAAAATACCTGTTTTTTTTAAGGTATTTTTATTACGGATTGTGTATTGTGTCCAAATTACGCGCGTTTCAACGTAACGTACTTAAAAATACTCACAGCATTTTAACCAATAACTTTAATTATTCCTTACTTTAAATATAATTATTGAATTGGTGAATAAACAGTACAAGGGATTATTAAATTTTATTTGCCATTCTAGCGTTACGTTATGTCAATGTTTTGAAAAGCAGACTGTCCTGAATTCAAATAAAGAAATAGAATATTTATTTCCTTCTAGCAAAAACCAGTAAAAAGGCTATACTATAAAGTAAAAATTCTGCAAAGAAGTCCAACGACAAGAATATGTAATTTTTATTATAATAAAATATTTATTACAATAGAACATGACATTCTTATACATAACATCACACACCACCTTTTTACAATATATGGGCATACAAAAGTTATTTTTATTTTTACATTTGTGTATCGAAAACTGAACTTATCCTCATGGTAACTAAATTATACAGCATCTCTTTCACACAAGGTTTTTGTACCATAGACTACGCTCCTAAATCTATACCTGTCATTATCTGTAATCGTACTATAGATTAGAAATGCCGCCATTGTCTTGATTCCAGTACAACTCTTTGCACTAATGGGTTCAATTAAGGGCATGTAAAAGACAGTTTTAAATTGAGTAGAAAAATCTTGAATCTGAAACCATGGCCATTAGGCATACATTGCTACCGCGAGCCCGTCAGCTTATTAACCGATGTTTCACTGTTTAAACAATGAGGCAGCGACAGAAAAGTTGCGTCCGTGCAGTTTTAAATAACAAGCGCGGGATAAGCTATGGCTGTTTGACCCGGCAACAGGCGCGCGCATTTCGAGCCACGTGTATTCGGTCAGTTTGGCGGGACGTCGGACTCGTGCGGTCGTTTCTTGCGCGTCTTCAAGTTCGTTTTCGAATGACAATAAGATGTAACGTAAAAATACTGTGAGTTTACCGGACCGAATGATGTTTTGTGTATCTGTATAGCAGTTAGCGGGAGTTTCATCAGTTATTAGGTTAGATTATTACCATTTTAAACGTATCAACTTGCGTAAATCAAATGTTTTATTAGTTTTGGTAACAGTCTCAGAAGTTCTCGTAAAAATTATGGCTTTACATTAATTATGATTGGAAGAAAATCTTGTGGTCTTCTAAATAAAATATTTTACAGTCACGAAATCTATTAGTTAAATTATAGTCCCCCGTGACCACGGCTGCTGCAAAGCATCAAAAATGTCTGGCCGCGGTTAAAATAAGTTTAAACCGTTAAAAGTGTTTTATACTGAATTTATACAAGTATACCACTCGTATAAATTCAGACAATTCGACCATTACCATCCAGATAATTCTACGCTTTCTGAGATTCTAGGAAGTAAAAAAGTATATCCTACACAAACAATTTTATGTGCTGCATTTGTGTCTATATTGCATGATTGTATTGAGACGAAGTTTGGAACCGTCCTATAAGTTTGAAAACTTTATTATTCTTTACATGTTATTAAAGGCAAAAAATAGATTTTTAAACCGTCGCATAATGTTTTTTAGTTACAAGAACTTCATAAAGTTATAATAGAAATTATATATTAAATGTACTAATACGTAAGCGTATTCGTATAACTGTAAATAAGTAACTTCCCTATGTTTAGAGGAATATACAGCTAATGCAGACCCGTATTTATTTCGGGTCCTGTTTACTTGTTTAACCAAAGAGTAAAGCTTTCAAAAGGTCCTTTGAGAGTTAAAGTTAAGACCCTTCCTATGAAAAGCTCAAAGTCCAAGTTAAATCGTTTCATGTGAAAGTTTTAATCAACGAAGCTTTCAATACGTACGTATTTACGCTAATTAAATTCGTTAGAAACGGTACATATGGGTATGATAATTAATGGATGTTCGCGTATTCTCATACGAATTTATCCATCTCTTTAAATTTAAAACATTTTAATTTGAATTAAAAAAAAGAAGTAAAGATAAAGATAAGTACAGTTTTATCTACATGAAAATATTAACCACGTGACGAATTTTACTTTTTATGTATGTAGGTAGCTCGATATCACATGTTAAGAAATAAGAAAATGTCCGCTCCAATAAGCCTGATCTTCTAGAAAGGAATTAGTCTCTTCGGGTACATTTAACTGTCTTAATGGTACACTGGGGCGTCCTTACGTGCTGTATTTGAATAAAATCTTAATAAGATCATTTAAGGAGTTGTTCCACTACCTTCAGATAACTGTCGGTAAATGTATTTTTACCCTCTTTTTAACATTACAATACAGACTGTTTACGGAATTTTTGAAATTAATAAAATAATTCAAAATTCATTTATTTTCTTCATGAATAAATGTTGACGTAGTTTTTATTAATATATTAATTAAGGAAATGTAAAAAATATATTTTTTAGCTTGATATAATAATGGTTAAATCTATTTTAATACTTCGTTTAATATTTAACGAATCCGTATCTTCACTTTAGCAAAGTAAATTTAATCAGAAACTACCGACATCTTTCTTCATCATTTATTCAAAACTTTGGATAAGCTTTATATTCAATTTGCTTTGTACACTTAGAAGCGTCTAAACTTTATTTGAGTTGATTCAACATTGTGTTTTTATGTTAATTATAACTATATGTTACATTCCTATTATATGTAGGTATTCTGCCGATTTGGTTCTTAAATTTAAAATCTCTCACCCCAGCGTAGCTCAATGGTTTAGAGCAGCAGCACGGAACACTGGAGATACCAGTTTGAATCCCACTTGTTCCGTCAAATTTATTTTTATTATATCTAAATATATTTTTAGTTTATACTAGCGACCCGCCCCGGGTTCACTTGGATGCAATGCTGAGACTAAATACACTACAAAAAAACTGTGAACGTATATGAAAACCTTCCTCTTAAATCACTCTATTATTAAAAATAACGCATCAAAACGTTGTGTATTTTTAAAGATTTAAGCGCACATAGGGATAGAAAAAGCGACTTTGTTTTATCTTATGTATTATTACACAAATAACAGTAGAGAAACATATGACGCATAATGACGTATTAAGAATTTTTTTTTACAAATTATATTTAATATTGCTCGTAAACAGAAATATTCTTCGCTTGAAACTTATATCTGTAGTTTTAATATTCGTATAGCACCCACCTTACATTTTATAGGTGTTATCTGCACAGTCTAATCCGCCCGCCCGCCCGCCTCCCGATACAACGTACCTATATTGAAAAGCTCACACTTTTAGTTTCAAAAACGACTACGATACGTTGTATAAGCGCTTTAAGTATCCATATTTAAAGTTTAATAGTTTACTCTTTGTTGTCTGATCATCTAAAGTATATTTAATAGACTAAAGAATGGTTTTTTTAAGTAAATAAATAGCTCTATAATGTTCATATTGTATTTGCTTTAAGAGAAAAGATGTTTTAAAGAAATTTAAAGTTTATGATTATTAAAACATATTTAAAAGGGGGTCTACGATTTTAATTCTGTGAAATGAAGTATAGATAAGTCATCTAATAGGTAAAATTATTATCAATTGTGTATTGTTCTAAATGTATAAATAACTTTATCCCAATGGGTAGGTGGTTACAATGCCAAATAGAGATCAATCAAAATTTATACACACGATTATTTTTCGTAAATTTGGCTCTCTCACAATATACTTTGACAATGTATGAATAGATGAAATGAATCAATGATAATTTTATTCAACAATTATTAAATGTCTGTTTTACATAATAATAACTTGAGCTAAAGAGAAGGTGTGTGAAAATTATAAACTTGATAGCGGTAACTTCTAGCGGACACATAAATGTGTTTCTCGAGTGCCGCATTAAGTGTGTTGTTTTAAATACTGTCTGTGGTTTACGCTAGTAGTAGACATTTAAATAAAACACTTTAGCGGTGTAAAACGCGATTTAATTAGTTAAACTTTTTGAAAATTATTTTTAACTACGGCCCGACGTTTCGGATGCTTTGCAGCAGCCTTGGTCACGTCGAAACGAAACGTCGGGCCGTAGGCCTTCAAATAAGTTTCACTAATATATATCGCGTTTTAAACCGTTAAAGTGTTTTATTTGATTGTGTTACTTCTTTTAATGAATAAGACACAATTACCAACTCAACATATTATTTATATTCCCTCGTAATTAAGAGGATATCCATCGCTTTACACCTTTGTAAACGTTATGTGCCAGCAATTACTTCAGTATGTTATTGACATTTTAGTCTATCTAATATACCTCAGCTGTACGTTAGACTGTAACCACGCTAAACATTTTTGTCAGGTCTGTGTTATTAACGCTATTAATAGACTCATGAGTAATACGATGTGGCAGAATGTTCAACGCTTGCTTTTTGTTTCGCTATTTTAATATTTCGTGGTTAATTTCCTTTGATGATAGTTTTAAAGGAATTCTTTTCACACTGTACAACGGCCTGTTGTTATATTATGTCCATATATCTGTCAGTTATCAGCAGTCAACCTTAACAGGAACTAAAAATCATCAGAAATGTTGGGGTTGTAATTGTATCAATTAGGTATCTTTAAATAGCGTTTCGAACCGTGAAAGGAATGTTATTTAAAAACATCTCTATATTTCATACGATTTATCTATAATAACTTCATTTTAAGCATTTTAATTTTATAAAATAAACTGAGTAGTGTATGTTTATATGGTTATATACCTAATAGTCGAAAACTTTAACTTAAAATGTAGTATCTAAAATTGAAATGTTTTGGGCATCTATACTGACAGATTTTTTTTTTATATTTAATAATTGGTCACATTAGACTAGTGTACATTGAACTTATCCTAGATTAGCCACAAAATGAGTTGAAATACATTAATGTTGACCAAGAATATATAATAAGAATTAATTTAGAACTATGTTCACATCATGAATATATATATGTTTTTTATTTAACAATATTAAGTTTAAGCTCTGGTAACTACTGAGGTGATAATAGTTATCTATTTCTAGAATTTATTAGATACAATATTTTAAACTTTATCCAAAATAGGAGCGTACATATGACTATTATATTTGGACAGACTTATTGTTGCA